TATTTTTTATTGTGATTTGGGTGAAGATTTACAGAGCAAATTCACTTTCCATACAGCAGTTCACATACACTTTGTCTCAAGACATTGACCACAGTTTACCACAATGCAACAGTTCCCCTCCCACTTCCTCCCCATAGTTACCTCTTCCCAGTGTTCATCTCTCCATGCACTCCTGCCCCCTGAGCTGTCTCCCTGTGCATAAGCAGTCCTTCTTTCTCCCAGAACCATAGTATTTTCAACCACATCATATGCATGCTGGACAATGAGTAAGGAAGACTGAAGAAGAATTGATGCATTTGTACTACAGTGTTGGTGAAGAACATTGAATTGGCTACCAGAAGAACAAATTTGTCTTGGATGAAGTACAGCCACAATGTCCCTTAAAAGTGAGGATGGCGAGATTTTATCTCTCGTACTTTGGTCATGTTGTCAGAAGGGACTAGTCCCTGAAGAAGGCGGTATTATGCTTGGTAAAGTTAGACAGTCAGCGAAAAAGAGGAAGACTGTCACCCAGATGGATGGACATAATGGCTGCAAGAGGAGGCTCAAACATAGCAACAATTGTGAGGATGGTGCAGGACTGGGCAGTGCTTTGTTCTGTTGTGCATAAGGTTGCTATGAGTTGGAATCATCTGGTCAGCACCTAACGGCTAACAACACACATCTTTCTGGTATTCTCTGCTTTAAGCTAAGATCCATCTGACATCAGCAAGGATAGCCCTTGTTCCTCATCCTTTTCTGAATCTGGCTTGAATTTCTGCAATGCTTTTTAATTATTTTCAGCAAAATTTTACTTGCATGTCATATTAATGATACTGTTTAATAATTTCCACATTGTTTTGCATCATTTTTCTTTGGAGTGAGCACAAATATAGATCTTTTCCCAGTCAGTTTACCTACTTGTCTTCCAAACTTCTTGGCATAGGTGAGTGTACACTTCTAGCACTGGATCTGTTTTCTGAAATATCTCCATTCATATAGTCCATCATTTCCTGGACCCTTGTTTTTCACCACTGACTTAGCACATCTTGGACTTCTTCTTTCATTACCATCAGTTTTTGATCATATGCTGCCTCCTGAAATAACTGAACATTGACCAAGTCTTTCATGCTAGTAGTGTATAAAATTATTTCTGCATTCTGCAAATGAGGCTGAAGTTCTGAATTTAAGTGATTTTTGCCTGGATAACAGTAGATGAACCAGGAGCTTTTGGCTTTTGGCTGTGGCCAGTAGGGCTCAGTGGTCTGTTATCAGCTGCTTAGGTATGTGACCCCAGACACTCATCACATGAGCATTTGGAGTAACAGGGCTATCTGGTTACTCTTTTGATATTTGGGCACTCTTGGAACTCTGAAGAACAGATCCCGTTTTCTAGTAGTAATTGTCATGTTTTAGAAATGCTTTTTTCCTACTTGTACATCTCATCTACTCCCTCCCCTAACCCCCAACACAGAAATAATGAAAATCTGATTGAAAGTTAAAGTGAAATAAAAAATGAGAAGAGATCATTATAAAGTTTTCTGCCACATTAGTGGCATGGCCTTTTGGATTGCTAATGGGAATAATTAATAATAGCTTAGTATCAGATGAGGCATTTGGAGCAAACTGACACAATTCTGAGTGATGAGATTCCTTGTTTCTTGAGTATTAGCCCTAAATGTGCAATTAAATATAATTGCATTAGGTGTCTTTTTCATTGAGTATGTAGCCTGCAAATTTTATTAGAATATGTGATGTATTTCTGTTTCTGAAAGATTGGAGATGTCTGATAGTGAGGAATAAAGGAATCATAGAGTTTGATAAGGTCACCCTGGTGGTGCAGTGGTTAAGCTACTAAACCAAAAGGTCAGTGATTCGAAGCTACGATCCTCTCCGTGAGGGAAAAATAGGGCAGTCTGCTTCTATAAAGATTAAATGAACTGCTATCAAATTGGGATCTAACTCATAGCAACCCTTACATGGGTTTCCTAGGCCATATCATTATGGAAGTAGATTGCCCAACCTTTGTAGATTGCCCATCTTCCTTCCGAGAAGTGGCTGGTGGGTTTGCACTGCCAGCCTTCTGGTTAGCAGTCAAATGCCTTAGGTACTAGGCTACCAGAGCTCCTTCTATAAAGATTACTGCCTTAGAAACTGTGGGGCAGTTCTGCTCTGTCTTATGGGGTTGCTATGAGTTGGAATTGACTCCTGGGACAGTGGGTTAAAATTTGTATTATATTAGGTCAATATAAAATCATGCATTTCTTACAGGTTTCATGACTACTTTTCCACACAGACACGTAGATGCCTTTATATGTCTTTCTCAGTTGTATTAAAGTGTTATTTTACTTTAAAAATCTTGATCCATGAGTGTTTAGGAAATAGTTAAATGGCATAGAACTAATCAAAATGAATAGATAACTTTGAATTCTGATTTTTTTTTAATGCAGTTTATTTACCCAGTGACTTTGAACTCAGGATTTTATTTTAGTGAGGCCAGCTAGACAATCTTAAACCACTAGTTATCTGTGTAAATTTAGCCATGGCTGCCTTTTTTTGGTTATTTAAAATAGGTTCATATGAAACTGAAACGTGCCCATTTTTTTGTATTCCAAAACAGTTTCTTAGATACTGTTTTGATTTGAAGGGAGCAAACTTGGGGGGGGGGGGGACAGAACTTTTTTATGAAGCTATTTTTTAATTGCTAGGATATGCTATGGCAATTTAGTTCCATTGTGAGCCAAATTGGTATAAAGATGAGCAAGATAGATTTTCTACCCTGAGGTATGTGGTAGCTGAGAAGAAACTCACTTAACCCCACTTTCAGCAAGGGCTTCCTAAACTGATAAAAGAATAAAAAATATGAGTAAAAGTGAGCTAGGTCAGTGTCTTTCAGACTGGGCGGTGGCCCATTAGTGGGCCACAAAGTCAAATTGGGGGTTATGACCAGTGTCTTTTTTTTTTTTTTTAAAAAAAGGAGGGTGTGGGAGAGTGAATAGCATAGAAGATACTGGATTGCATGG